AAAAATAGGAAAAACACTACACGACTTCATGAATATACACCCCCCGCCCCCTCTTCCGCCCTGTGTCCACTAAACGCCTGTCGCACACGTTGTCTCTCTGTGCGTACACCTAAAACAAACAACAACATCAATGCGTCTGCCGCCCTGCCGCCGTTGTTGACGCGGTTGACGTCGTTGTCGCCTTCCTTCCGTCGTTGCCGGTCCTTGTGCGCCCTCCCACATAATATGTGTGTTACGTCCTCCCCCGTGCTCTCTGCGCCCTCTCTGGAACCCTCACTCGGCTACTTCGTCGAATCGTTTACGTGAACGCCGTAATCGAACCGCTTCACTCGGCCACGTGGGTCGACGCGTTACTCGGACAATCTGCTTTACCCGGCCGCGTTGGTCGACGCGTTTGCTCGGAGAGACAATCTCTCCCTCCTTTCTTACACGCGGACAATGGTCGTTCTTACTCGGAGGCAATCTGCTTGTCGCGGCCGCGTGGGTCGACGCGTTTGCTCGGAGAGACAATCTCTCCTCCTTCTTACACGCGGACAATCCCGTTTACTCTGCCACGTCGTCGATCGGCTTTACTCGGAGAGACAATCTCCTCCTTGTTACACTCGGCTACTTCGTGGAATCGCCTTACACGGACAATCCCGTTTACTCGGCTGCTTTTGCTCGGAGAGACAATCTGTCCTTCTTACACTCGGATCGATCCGTTACCCGGCTACTTCGTCGAACCGCTTCACTCGAACAATCTCTTTTTACCCGGTCGCGTGTGCTCCGAGAGACAATCTCCTCGTTCATGCACGCGGCCACTTCGTCGAATCGGTCGTGCACGTGGCCGCGTGGGCTCGGAGAGACAATGTGTACCGTCTTACACTCGACGACAATGCGGTTTACGCGGCCGCGTTTGCGCGGACAGAGAAGCACCGTATACTCGAATGCGTAGTCGCGTTCTATATTTGTTCTGCACTATACCCATAGAATGCACTTGCTCAGCTTTTAATAATTAATTTCCCATAAAGGAGAATACTACCCCTGCATATTATGCACTTGAATCTACATTTTATATGCATGTAACCGGTACGCACCGGTTCCTATGGTCATATTAAAAGAAGTTGACTACACATAACAAGTAACAAACAAAAGCAAATGTAAAAAGAAAGCAACAGAAGTAAGCAGAACAGAGCAGAAAAAAAAGACAAGAAGGTATGGAATAGTGCAAACACGAAATATATTATGTATATCACATAATGAAGTAAAAGTGGTCTAATGTTAGCATGCGTTATGTCGCATGCATATGCGCCGTCGTACTAATGTCACAGTTGCTCCAATAGGTCATCCACATATAGCTCCTTATCCTGCATACCCATGACTTCATCCTAATTGCAGAGCTGCTCCAATAGATCATCCACATATAGCTCCGTCTCCTGCATACCCCTGACTTCATCCTAATGTTAACACTGTTGCAATAGAGCATCCACATATAACTCCGTCTCCTGCAAACGACGTTCAACCGCGCACTGTTCTATGACTAATGCCAGGATCAGTATCCATGTTTTAGCGGTGAACCGTTGGTTCATGTAAGGTTGCCGATGCAGTTGCTGCGACCGTTGTACATCTCGCACTCGTAGCATGTCTGCTGCTGCCATTGCTTTTTCCACTTCTAAGTCTTTGTCGATTACAGGTACTTCGCCTTTGTGCGATTCTGTCTCCTCCTCGATATGTTCTAACAAATGCTTAAACCACTCCTCGTGCCTATGTACATTCAGTTGCCGATGTTGCTGTGCGACCCACTTTTTCAAGGCATCTTTCTTCATCTCTACGGATGGGATATTGCCACGCTGACCGAGGTTACGCTGCCCGGATACTACGTTGTCTTCGTTTGCCACCATGTGCTCACGCAGGTATTGTTTCCATTGCGATTTCAATTGCAGAAACCACGGCTGCGTCGTGCACTCCCGCAAAAGGTGCTTGTTGCGGGCAATCCAGTTAATCCAAGTAGTGTGGTCGGGGGCCCGGTTTTAATTCCCCGGGTAAGGGGATGGAAGGAGAAAAGGAGTCTCTTCTTGTTCTAACTGTATGGTTTCCATACAACTCCATGTATCGGGGTCATTCAATGGGCATGCATCCGTTACAGCGGTGTCAGTGGGTGGATCGAGGGTGGATGCAACATTGTTCCCTGATAAATCCTGGTTTGTGATAGGAGCATCCAAGGAACTACTATACCCCTTTCCGTCCCGCATCAAATGCTGCGCAAACTCCTCCACGACAATTTGCAAATAGTCGTCTTTGACGTTTTCGCATGCGGCCACTTCACATTCGTTGAGCACCTCTAAATGTAGTTCGATGATGGTGCGCTTATACACGCGCGGGGGGCGTTGTCCGCGGCGTTCAGCAGCAGACGCAGGTTGCGTAACCATCGTGTACCCGTAATCGGGTGGCGGCAGGTCCGCGCGTTGTAGATGCTCCAATATTTCTTCGTCGAGTGGCGGTGACGGCACGTCACGCACGGTTCGATATGTTCGTCGTCGTTTTGTTCCGAGGTGCGCAAAATACTAAGCAGAAAAAGGGGGGTAAAGAGGAGGGTGAGGACGGTAGGATAAAAGGAATGAACGCGGGTTTAGGAGTATATGG